ATAGAATAATCGAAAAGGAACCCTTATTCATAAGCTTATTCTTGCAATTGCAAGAATAAGCTTACGAAAGTAATATTTTATAAAGCTTATTTTTTCAATGGTAAAAAATATTTATTTATTCATTTTTTAATTATTTTACACATTTCATTCATTGATTGCCATCCCAGCTGTCACTGCATCCTGTTGCCTTGATACCTAGATGCTTTCTTTCCCCTTATTTGAGCTTCTGTATCTCCTCCACTTATTCTTCACTTCTGTTGAATTCCTGCAACTTTTTGACGCCTCCATTCTGAAATGAGATTGAAATAATTTATACTACAGATTCCCAGATTTATTATTCATCATTACCTTAGAGTTTCGTCCGGAAATGGGTCCTAAATTCGCGTGATTTTGATTTTAACCAAAGAAAATAATTTTTTGTTGACAATTTTCACAAAAAAATCAAAACAAATTTGTCAACAAAGGACAGATTTGAGAAAAGTTTGTGCAAAAAAGTGTTTCTCAAGCATTGTTGAAAAATTCTTATGATAAACTATTTTCATAATATTATTCTCAAGCTGTATTGTATTTTTGGTATGTTGGGAAAGGAGATCGTAAGAAGTAAAACAGTATCAGTCGGGTTTTTCCGACAGTTGAGTTGGGTCATATTGACCAATTTGCATCTGACATAAGACTGGCCATATCGACTACTTCCTATACTTCATATGAGATATGTAAAAATTTTTGGAAAATGTGGAAATATGCGTGAGGTACCAGATATAGCGGAACGAAGTATTCCATTTTGTATACTTCATCTAAATATTTACTTCATAAAATATTTATATTCACTTTTCTGTAAAATTATAAATTCTGATAAATTATATATTCATAGCATATTACTGGTTAAAAGGAATATTTAGCTATAGTAAGTTGTAAAGAATCGCTGACTTGATTCGCAAGTTATGACAGATATAAGATTGGGAAATTGTGACCCTTTATGGGTGAGGTACCAGAAAAGGTTGGCAGATACATATCATCCTTACAACAGATTTTGCGTTTTACCCTTTGGGGGGGAGGTGCCAGAAGGATTGAACCGATTTACTCCATCTTCACAGCAGACCTTGGGTTAAAAAAAATAATGGGATATGTGCAATTTGAAGACAATCAGACCCTTACTTCACATTTTATAAAAGTTATAATTACTCGAAATTTTGACGCTTTGGGGGGAGGTACTTGATGGAGGGGACCAATACTGTTCATTTTCGCACCAGGCCTAGAACTGATGGAAATATTAGGATTTGCAAGTTTGAAGCAAAATCGGATTATAGTTTCTCTTTCTGTGTATTAATTTTTTTTTTTAAACAAAATTTTGACCCTTTGGGGGGAGGTACTTGATGGAGAGGACCAATACTGTTTATTTTCGCACCAGACCTAGAACTGATTCAAATATTAGGATTTGCAAGTTTAAAGCAAAATCGGATTATATATATATATATATATATATATATATATATATATATATTTTTTTTTTTTTTTTGAAAATTTCGAAAAAAAATTTTTGGGGGAGGTACCAGAACTTTTTCCAATAATATTACGACATACCAAGATTGAATCAAATTGGATACTCCCTTCGAAAGTTATCGTGCGCCTTGTCAGCCAGGCGGACAGACGGACGGACATCGTTAGATTGACTCCAAATGTCCTGAAACGGATCCAAAGAGACCTAGAATCTAAAACCTTTATTTCGATGAAGCACGTTTTGACTATATCAAATGATATATACCCTATGTAGCCATATGGCTGAGGGTATAAAAGAATTCTGTAACACAGAGCGACTGAGAGAGAAACTGTTAAAGTTTTTTTACTCGGAGTTTGCAATTCTTGCCTGAACAACTTCTTCGTGCACTCACTTGCAACTCTTCCTCTTCTCGTCCCGGTAAGTTATATATTTGGTAAGCTAAATTGTGTTGTCTTAGGAACTACTTTCTTTTTTACTTATGTCCATACTATGGAGACTATATTAACTTTGTCATTCCGTTTGTAACTCCTCGAAATACTCATGTCAGACCCAACAAATATTTTTGACTTAGAATTTTAAGTCGATTTAGCAATGTCCGTCTGTTGTAATCACGCTATCTTTCGAACGAATTGAGATAAAAGGCTTACATTTTGCACACATGTTTATTCTGCCAGTAGGTTCGTAAATAGGCCATGTAGGTCCACGTTTTCATATAGCCCCCATGTAACGGCACCTCCCGATATTTGAATTTTGATGATTTTAGCGACATTACTCACAGGAATTGTTTCAAATTTGGTATTTGAAGATCGGAATGGAAATGACAAAAAATTGTCTGTGTCGGTCCACGTCTTCGTATAGCCCCTATATAATGGTTCCTCCCAATATTCGATATGTTGGTGATTTTAGCGTCATTATTCATTGGAGTAGTTTCAAATTACGTATTTAGAGTTCTTAATGGGAACTACAGTCTGTGACAGAAAATTGCCTATGCAGGTCCAGGTCTTCGTATAGGCCCCATATATCAGTACCTCCCTATATTCGGTATTTTGACGATTTTAGGTACAATACCCACTAAAATTGTTTGAGATGTAGTATATGAAGTTTTTAATGGATGCTACAGCCTGTGACATAAAATTGTCTATGCAGGACCAGGTCTCCGATATAACGTTACCTCCCTATATACGGTATTTTGATGATTTTAGCTACATTATCCACCATTTATTTCAAGTTTCGAATTTGAATATGTTAATAGCTTATGACAAACAATGCCTATGTAGGTCCACGCTGATGGACCCCAATATATCGGCTATATTCCGTATTTTTACGATTTTAACAGATTTTAATTTTTGAAAATTTCCAAATTCATTCAATTTGGTTTAGGGTATTGAAAGTTCGGCCCGCCCGAACTTTTTTTAATAATATAAAAATTTTTTTCGTGTTTTTTATTTCGGATTTATTTGACAAATCAACTGATTGATTGTATGGTATATTTTCTGTTTTATTTTTAAAATGTTCTTATAAAAAAAAAATAAAGCTACCTTACCCTATCAAAAGAAGTTGCTAGACAATTTTTGCAGAAAAAATAACCAGGCAAACCTATTATTGTTTATTAAGATTAACATTATTATTACCATGGTAGAAGAATACAGGCAGATGCATCAGCGCTTGGAAACATTGATATGTCAAAAATTTTTGAATGATTTTTCAAATATAAGTAGATTTTTATATGTTTTCTTATACGACGTCATTAGGAGGTTATTATAATACGCGTTTTTCAACAATTTTTACAAATTTAAATAATTTTTCATTCAACATTTTCAATTCCAAAATTAATATGACAGTTCAATGTCCCAGCAGCTGTGTCAATGAGCCTACCTATATTTTTCTACCATGATTATTACTCGTTGTTGTGACTGTGGCGAGTCAAACTAGTTTTATTCAATTTTCCTGTTTGCCCTGTATTTCTCTGGCTCTCAATGGCGTCCGGCGAGAGAGTGTATCATTTGCGCACATCAACCACTGCCATCAACGTTGCCAGTATTGAGGATTTATCCGAAAAACTTAGGGATTGGGGACTAGGACGTTTGATGACAAACAACAAAGGTAGCTTTAGGTTGACTTAGTTCGATTTTGGCCCTACGCTCCTTTGTTCTTTTCCGAAGAAGCCAGCCGTTTTATGTATTTTCACCTTTAGAGTCATGCTTTACTGTAACCATGTTAAATACCTAACGCGAAATATTCTTCTAACTTTTATAAATTCTATTGAACTATGTTCGAAATTTTTAAGGAAGAGATGAAGTCTAATCGAAATAAAAATGAAATCTTTTTTTAAAAATTAAATTATTTATTATTACTTTTACTATTTATATTATTATTTATTTTTTGAAATGTGGCATTTTTTTCTTTGTACATGAAAGTGTTTGCCCTTTAAGTGTAGGTTAATAGGTTAAAACTGTAAAAAATGGTAAGTACCCTCACCGACTTAATGAGGGGGTAAGGAATTTTTAAATATTTTTAAGGCATTTTGCTTGAAAATCTGATTTTTTTCGGTTACAGATACGAACGATTGAGGAACGAATTAGATTGGACGGTTCCCAATGGATTGATTTGCAAGTGATAACTTGCTTAGGTTGCAAGTGATAACTTGCTTAGGAAAAAGTAAAAGTTTTTCTTCGAAGCTTATATCCAAGTCGCAATGAATATATAAATTTAAAATTGAAAACAGACTATATCGGAGTTTACATCTTCAGATACAGAGTTTTTAACCGAAAAATGTTCTTTTTTTCTTAAGGTAATTACTCAACAATTAAAAAAGAGTGGCAATGCTAAAAATAACTGTTTACTTTACTGTCTTTAAGAAAACCGGAAAACACCAAACAATTAAATGCACAGTATCTACAAACAAGTAACGCCGTGTTTACACTAAACATGTCCTTTAAACGCCTTATTATTCCTTTGATTATGTGTGAATGATGGAGCTTCGAAAAATGCGTAATTTAGGACTCGGTGTTTAAGACGTTTTAGCCGCTATTCAATTAATCGCGATTATCGAAGAAATCTTAGAGAAATAACCGTATTGTCCAATTCTATAAAGTCCAGATCCACACAATCCACAAATACTGTCTTAGGTCGAAGTATCGAGAAAAGTCCCCATTATCCCAAGTTATGAATAACTGCGGTTTTTATACAGTTTTTAGTTGATTTCCCCAACCAATGGGGGTATGGTAAACACTGTCAAGCGGCTGGCTTGGCCACAGTATCAGCTGCTGTTGCTGTTTGACGTAAACGCTCTCACATTCTCCAAAACAAGAAATCATTAATGAGAGTGAAGTGTGTGCGTACGTGTATCTGCCGTTGGCGAGAAGAAAAGAGAACAAAAATTGGGGAGGCAGAGAAGAATACTCCAAAACGTAGTACCGGAGCTTTTCAAAGACAACAACAAAATACAAGTAATTTGTTGCTATTCCCTTAGCTTTTGGGTCTACTCGAGCTCTCACGGCCGTAAAGCAGCAGAGGCGAGTAAAAGTGGCACAGTTAAAATTGCTGACAGATAAGTCCGCCAACAGTTTTCAGTCTACTGCCAAAGTCAACCGGTCGCCAGTCGGGAGGAAACGCGTGTTTGTTCTTTAGTTTCACGTTAGTTCAGTGGAATTCTGAAAAGGTAAAACGCTAACGAAGAAAAAAAAGTGCAAAAGAAATGTTTGATTCGAAAGGGGGTGTGTGTGTTGTTTTTCGCTTGTGCGGCCGAATGTGGACGATTGGGTAGTGATTTAACAACAGCTGGTCTCACTCCGGTGACTGGAAGGTGTCGAAAAAAAGAAGACTTCTGTGTTGTGACGCACCCACAATGTAATGCAAAACTAAGTGATTATTCCGCAAGTATTCCAGCGAAAAAGTATTGCTGCGAAATATTGCAGACCGAGTCTAAATCGGATGTAGCGATTTCAGGATTTTTTGATTATGTGCTTTTGTCATTATGTAACAAGTGATTTGTTATTGATGGTGTCGCAATTGTTCCATGTCCAAAGTGGTGCGATAAGAGAAGTCACATCATGTCTGATGTGTATCAGTAGCCCCCCTCGCAGCGGTTGTATGTCACATCCAGTATCAATACACCGTTCAGGCGTTATATGTTCCCAAATTCTAATCTTTCGGCACAGCAAAAACTGAAAACATCAATTGAATTGTCTCGACAGACGCACACACACACACACACAAACACATGTATGAATGTATGGACCAACAACAAATCGTGTCGCAACAGAGGTACTCATCGCCGTTCACAGCATATTTACTGCATAGAAATGGTCGGTCCATCGCTAGCGAACAGCTTGTAGTCCATTGTGGTCTTGCCGTGACATTGCTCTTGAACTTTTTGCTGAAGAGTGTTGTTGTTGTTGCTAATATGTACTTTTTTGTTGTTGTAAAAAATCGTTATCACAGAAATGGGAATTATGCTTCTGTTGTTGTATTCCATTCGTGTAGATAAAAAATGAATAAAAGCCGAGCATAAGCGAATGAAACAGAGAATGCCGTGAAAGAAAAACAAATGATTGATGAGTGGAAAATTAAAAGAAATTTAAATTTCTAATTTATGCGATAAATGTGAAATCCTTAAATAAAGTGAAAGTAGAATAGGGTGCAGCTTCCGTGTAAATACATCTTATCCAGGCCAAAATTGAACAGACCCAAAAGAAATCTATTACTTTTGTTCCAAAACGAAAAGTAAAGTGCAAACGCGGCTGTCCTTTCGATTGTGCTGCAATTTTGTGTAAGAGAACACCTTCTAGAAAAAATCCCAAAAATTAAGGATTCTTGCAAGTGAAACGTAACGTAACTTTGTTCTGCGCCGAAAAACCAATTATAATTCCATCATAAATGTTTGCCATCTTTCTATATCTATTGCAGTATTTCGATACATTCTATTCCCCACCGTACTCTGGAGGATACATATATAATGTATTTTTATACCCTTCACCATACGTAGTATGGAGGGTATGTTAGGTTCGTCATTCTCTTTGTAACTCATCAAAATAATAATTTAAGACCCAACAAACTGTATATATTATTGATCAGCGTAAAATTCTAAGACGTCCGTCTGTTGTAATCACGGTGAAGGTCGAAGGTGGGCTATATCGGTCCTCGATATCGTCATATATAGCAGTACTCCCCAATATTCGGAATTTTGATGATGACATTTTTCAATGGAATTGTCTGAAATTCTACACAAGGATTTCTTCGTGACTATTTAATCCATAAAAAAGAATTGTCAATATAGGTCCATGATATCGTATGTCCCCCATATAGCGTTACCTCCCGATATTCGGTATTTAGATGGTTTTAGTCGCATTTTTCAATGGCATTGTTTGAAATTCTACACAAGGTATTCTCTGTGAGTACTTCCCCCTGAAAAAAATTTTCTTTATGGGTCCCCAAATTTAATGGAATTGGCGTAAAATCTGCAAAAGGATCTGCCAAAGGATTTCCTTCTGGGATACTTAACCCCATGATATCGTATATCACCCATACGACGGTAACTCCCTGAAATTCTACACAAGGAATTCTCTGTGAGTAATTTCCCTCTAAAAGAGAATTTTCTTTACACGTCCACGATATCGTATAGCCCCCATACAATGATGCCCCCCAATATTCGGTATTTTGATGATTTTAGCCACATTTTTCAATGGCATTGTCTGAAAATCCACACAAGGAGTTCCCTCTGAGTAATTTACCCCATTGGAAGAGAATTGTCTATATAGGTCTACGTTTTAGTATAGCACCCATATGATGTTACCCCTAAATTGATCATCGAAAATGCGTCAAATTTCGTATTTGAAGTTCGCACTGGGTACTACGACCTATGACGGAAAATTGTCTATGCAGGTCCGCGTCTTATTATAGCCCCATACAACCGTACCTTTCTTTATACGGTATTTTGATGATATTAGCGACATTATTCACCGGAATTGCGTCAAATTTCGCATTTAAAGTTCGAAAACGTTACTACAGCCTATCACAAAAAAATCCAAAAATATCCAACATCCGTTGTATAGCACCCATATAAAGGTTTTCATTTGAGCGGTATTGTTTGACGATTTTTTTCAAGTTCCTTTCGAATGGTGGAGGGTATAAAAGTTCGGTACTGATTTTAGATGTTTTCAGAACATTTTAATTGAAAGTTCTCTTTTTTTATTCGTATTGAAATTTTGTAATGCAAACTATCTTATGACAGCAAATTATTTTCCATGCAAGCGCACGCCTTCACATATTTTCCAAACGGAATGATTTCAAAGTTGGTATTTGGAGTTGGAATTTTCTTTCTTTGGTATTCCCCGCTCCTAATAAACAGATTTATTGATACCGATAAAAATGGAAAACATTATCATTAATGTATGTATATTTTACTTTAAAAAACCCCTAAGCTGTCGAGAGTTAACAGGAAAATTCCAATGCGTGGAACAGCAATAAAATCTTGCACATGATGCCTTCGTTGTTTTGTGCGAGAGGGTTATTTATTTTAAATTTTACCGCATCAGTATTATGTAGACATAATTGTTTTACAATACAAATGTGTAATATATATGTATGTATATAAATAAGTGTATATTTGCTAAGCACCCAAACAAATTTACACATATTCTGCTGAATTGAAAAGATTCGGTATGGCAACTGACTATTATTATTCGAAATATCAATGCTTTTTGCGATAAACTTTGATCCCCTAAAAACCGAAAAGGGGTGATTGTGCTATTATATTTTTATTTTTTTTTTTCGATGGGGACTTAAAATGGTAATAACGTAAATATTTCTTTCATTTGTATACACACACTTTAATTCGAATATCGGCATATCTTGATGATTTAATTTACAGCAGCATTCAGTTCTTAAAAAAAAAAAAAAAAAAAAAAAAAAAAAAAAAAAAAAAAAAAAAAAAAAAAAAAAAAAAAAAAAAAAAAAAAAAAAAAAAAAAAAAAAAAAAAAAAAAAAAAAAAAAAAAAATTAAAAAATTCACACTTTAGCGGCCAAGTGTCGTTGACACTTTTTCTAGCAGCTCCAATGCAGTTAATTAATCAAAACTCATTAAGAATCTTACGAGACAATTAACAACAACTTCTTGAAAACACCAGAGAGTGTAGTAGTATATATTGAAAATACAGTAAAATCATGGAGGGGAAGCAAAACGCCATCTTGTGCCAATTTAAGCGGTTCAGCAAAGGAGTTAGCAAAACGTCTAGAGCGTACACGTGTGTATAATCGAAAGATAATTCAATGCTACGCACACCGCGTGGTAGAAGAATGCAGGTAGATGCATCAATGATTGGGAACATAGATATGTCAAAATTATTAAATTTTTTTTAAACAAGTAGATTTGAATATGTTTCCCATACGAGGCCAATCGGAGGTTGTTATGAGTATGAACGATTTTTCATTCAAAAATTTTAATTCCAAAATTGGTTTGACAATTCATTGTCCCAGCAGCTGTGCCGATGCGACTACCTGTATTCTTCTACCATGGCACACCGTCTTGTCAACCCTGTAATGGGATTCTCAAACACATTTTTTTTTGTTACCAACAATCGGTAGAATAACCAGTAAAAAAGCTGTAAGTTCGGTCGGGCTTTGAATCCCCTCCACCATTGGGAAAGAATTTGGCAATTTTCCAAAAAAAAAAAAAAAATAATAATAATAAAATAAAATCCTTTAAAAATTCTGTTAACATCTTAAAAATACCGAATGTAGCCGTTATATTAGGGTCTATACGACGACGTCGACCTGCATAGGCAACTTTTATCATAAGCCATTACAAGTTTTAAATGCGAAAGTTGAAACAAAATCGATGAATAATGTAGCTAAAATCATCAAAATACCGAATATAGGGAGGTACCATTATATGGGAGTTATACCAAAACGTGAACAGACAATTTTCTGTCATAGGCTGTAGCATCCATTACCAATCACAAATACCAAAATTGTAACAATTCCGGTGAACAATGTTGCTAAAATCATCAAAATGCTGAATATTGGGAGGTTTCGTTATATGGGGGCTATTCGAATACGATGACCTGCACGGACAATTTTGTGTCATAGGCTGTAGTATCAATTACGAAGCTCAAATACCGAATTTGAACCAATTCTGGAGAATAATATCGCTAAAATCATTAAAATACCGAATATCGAGATGTACCTTTTCTTTATATATTCCTATACGAAGAACGTGAACCTGCTCAGACAATTTTCTGTTTTAGGCTGTAGTATCCACTACGAACTTTAAATACAAAATTTGAAACAATTCCGGTGAATAATGTCGTGGGAGTCCATACCTCAATCTGGACTAGTTGAAGACCTGGTTGATAATGAAATTCATCATAAAGACAGGCCCTGTTTTGGGTAACTTGGGCTTATATAAGCTTAAGGATATGTGTAACGTCTTCCAGGCCAAAACAAGGCGAACTGCGTAAGGGGGTCTTTGGGAAGTGAAATCACAGTTCCAATGGTCACATGTGTCAATCGAGCGATATTTTCCACTCAACATGTCTGTCATCTATTATTTTTTATATCTTGTTCTATGTATTTCCGAATAAGTTCACTTTGGAAATTATTAAAATAATCCAAAGCCATACCCGATAGATTGTTTTTCAAATATTAGAGCTATTGTGAGAATCGCAAAGTTTTTCAAATGAACTGACACAACGGCCTAACTAATGGAATTTATTTAAGGCGCCTATTTTTCAAAACAATTTTGCCACAAATAGATTTGAATTGAATTTCCATTTAAGTCTTAAACTTGTTGCCATGTTATAATTGTTTTGAAGAATGTTTGTTTTAATAATGAACTTAATCAAATCAGAAATATTCGAACACACAAATAAACAAATACATAAAAGCACACTTTAAAAGGCCGATTATGATGAGACGTCGACATCTAATTGTGGCACTCATTAAGATAAGGGGGGAGACTCTTATTATTATTGGAATTAGATTGATGTGTTATAAACATTCAAACACATGCCAAGTATTGGTGTATATTCATACAACAACAAAACATAAACACTCGCCACTAGCCACTGATAACCAACAGCCAGTCAGTCAGCCAACCAGTCCATGAATAAAAGACTCGAAGCCGAAGCGATTAAATCTAAAAGAAAAGAAGTATTTGCAGTGCATTTAGTTTCAAGAAATAACTTCGTCACATTAGTCTCCATTATCCAAGTCAGTGAACTTCGAGCTTCGAGAGAAAGAAGTGAGTGGCAAAAAAAATTGTAGGCGTTTGTTTTTAATAACTGTTTGCTTCTTGATGTTCAGACTGAGATGAGTGAGGAATATTCCGCTTTTTCTTCGAACCTCTCTCTCAAAACCCAGTTACTCTTTTTCTTCCAAAATTGTTTGTGTCAAAATCTTGAATTAAAAAATCTTCAATATTTACCAAAAGCAAACAAATCTTAACTATTTTCATAATATTTCCTATTCTTAATAGGAAGCCGAGTTCTTCTCAATTGAACAGGTTATCTCTTGTGTATAATTATTTTAATTGTATTCCCTTTTGATTTAATTTCAGTTTAAGTTGCATAACATTGGTATCTTAGATTGGCCAAAGGAACAAATTCAAAATGTCCGATTTTGCCAGAGTCGATATCGATCAGCCTAAATATGATCAAAGCACATATCTGAATCGTGCCAAACACTTCTTCCTCCTGACAAATCCACTCAATTTGTTGGCCTCAAATGCCGAATTGGAGAGAGCCAAGCGCATTGTGAACGATTACCGTGCCGGCAAGCCTGTACCTGATGTCAAGAATGTCGAGGATTTGTGGAGAGCCAAATACTTGTATGACTCCGCCTTCCATCCCGAGACCGGAGAAAAATCATTGATTATTGGCCGTATGTCCGCCCAAGTGCCCATGAACACCTTGATTACGGGATGTGAGTATAGCAAAAATATATGTACATAGATACACAATTGTCTCTTCAAAGTATTTAACAATCTTACATAACATTTTTGTTAATCAATTTGCGACAAATGAAATGTGTGCCGTCAATTGAAATTAACGTTCTCAAGTTCATCCCGCTGGGTTCAGTGGACGATCAAATTGCACACAAACACAATTGTGATCGTGCCTCGAACAATATACATACCTATATATATTTATATACGTATATATAAAAAAAACCTGACACTCTTCTTTTCCTGAAAATTTAAATTGAATAATTTAATTAAAACATAAATTGTTATTATATTGTTGCATATTTTGCTAACAAACCACATTTGTTTTTGTTTTTTTTTTTTTTTTCTTAGGCATGCTTTCATTCTACAAAACGACACCGGCTGTGGTCTTCTGGCAATGGGTCAATCAAACATTTAATGCCGTCGTTAACTACACAAATCGTTCCGGCTCAACGCCCATCTCCAAAGAGTGAGTATTCAAAAAAAAAAATCACCATGAATATACTTTACTTACCTCTCTTTACCCTTGGAATAGGCAACTGGTGACCTCATATATTTTGGCTACCGGTGGTGCTCTGACTACTGCTTTGTCCTTGAATAGAATAGTTAAGGTATGTTGCGACAATTGACTATCCTAAAAAGCATACTGAAACAAATTTCGTTTTTTCAGAATTTGAATCCATTGATTGGACGCTTAGTACCTTTGGCTGCTGTGGCAGCTGCTAATTGCATCAACGTGCCAATGATGCGTTTGCAGTAAGTATAGCTTTGGAATTTGATTGCACTGAAACTATTATTCATTCATCCATGTTACTTTTAGAGAATTGAAGAACGGTGTTACTCTTCTGGATGAACAAAATAATGAAATGGGTATTTCAAAGAAGGCTGCTGCTGTTGGCATTACAGCTGTTGTTGCTAGCAGAATTGCCATGGCTACTCCTGGCATGGGTAAGTTTACTTTTTCCCATACCTAGCTAAAATGAAAATATGTGTTGGGGTTTTAGAAGATCATTCGGGACATTGTGATCGTCCTTCGGGACATTCGAGAGGATGTTAAACAATTAAAATAGTATCTGTCAGTTTTGCAGACAGATGTATACCCGCAGCCTTGAGTTATGATTATTAAAATTGTTGACCCTTTAGGGTGGAGGATCCTAAGCAGTTGGCCAATATAGACCAATTCGTATCTGACCTAAGACTGATAAAAATGTTACAACGTGCCAGATTTGGACTATATCGACTACTTCCGTACTTGATATGAGATATGTGCAAATTTATGAAAATATGTGATAGGAAACAGATATGGCGGACCGAAGTATTCCATTAAACATTGGTATGGGAAAATGTTGAATTCCAGAAGGAATGTTCCCATCTCAATCATCTGTATAAGCGATCTTGTATTGATGGAAATATTCAGATGTGCCAAGCCTGAATGAAATCGGATGTTAATTTCGTGTTACCAGAAGGAGTTGACCGATATTGCCCATCTCCGAGCTCGATCTAAGTTTGAAAATAATATTACGATATACGAAGTTTGGACCAAATCGGACACTCCCTTCGTGTGTTATCGTGCATTCCAGCCAGCCAGAGAGAGAGACATACAGGCATCGCTAGATCGACTCCAAATGCCCCGAAACGGATTTGGTCCAAAGAGACCTAGGGTCTAAAACCGTTATTTCGATGAGGCACGTTTTTGCCATATCAAATGATATATACCCTCTCTAGCTATATGACTGAGGGTATAATTAAACAGAGATAGAACAGTATTGGAATTATTGTTCTGGATACCGTAGTTATTTTATTGTTGCAAAATAGGCTCAATCCCATAATTGTTGTTATAAAAACAGGGCCTGTTCCAATGATTAATATTAACAATTCATTATCCTCTGACAGCAAGCATTGTAACGTACTAACCCACATAAAATCGGCTCAATAATGAAACAGTCTGCAGTAATCGAAATTGAAGGCTTCCAATACAGTAGTCTTGCAAACTGTGTTCAAAAGACGTAATTTTATGTTCCATTTTCTTTTAATTTTTTAATATTTATAACCATTCCTAATATTTTTATTGTTTTTTTTTAATTTTTTTTTCAGTACTCACACCTTTACTCATTAACAAATTGGAAAAGGGAGGTTTCCTCAAACGTTTCCCCAAGGCTAGTGCACCCATCCAAACCCTGTTCTGTGGCTTTGTTTTGATCTTTGCCACACCTTTAGGCTGTGCATTCTTTAGCCAAAGGGCTGCCATTAATGTAAGTTTATTTGGTTCTACAAAAAAAAAATCTCATTTACGTTTTTCTTTTTTTCTCTCCATTAAGGTTGACAGTTTGGAACCGGAAGTCAAGGATGAAATTAAGAAGAAGAATCCCAACATGACTGAAGTATGGTTCAACAAGGGTTTGTAAGGCAACCCAACCAAAATCTATCATCTATGGCCGAGGCAATTAAATTGGCCGTATTGCCTCAATTCTACTCAACAAATGGGAAAAAGAGCTTAGCAAATTTAAAAGAAGAACATTAGGAACCCGTTAATTATTCTATTACAAAAATAAATGTGTTTGACAATAATTTGCAGTGACAACTACAGCAAAGAAATCGTTAATAAGTATATCAAACAATAATTATTTACGATTAAGTTCATCAATCCTAGTTAAGTTCTCAATGTTGGTCCTAGAGACAAAACAAAACAAAAAACAAATCAATTTAAATGTGTTCCAGATGTGTTGTTGTATATTTCATTTCATTGTATTCCAATGTATCAATTGCATTTAGTTCACTCAGTGTTTAAATCTTCTATTTTAGTTAAGTACTAATTCAAAATATTTCAATATTTGAATTTGTTATTCCAATTTAAATTAGTATAGCAACCTAATTAAGTTGTTATATTTAAAATAAATAAAAAAAATAACTCAAAGAGATTAGCGTATGTATGTATATGCTACTAACTAATTCAAAATAATAGATTTTGGATGATTTCTATTATTTTGCCACTCTTTCTTGTGAAACGAAAACATTTATCATTTTAGGCGTTGAAAATACTCTTAAAACCTTTTTTGGGGGACTTTCTTTAAAATAAGTTTCTGGTTTGACAATGTAAAATTATAAATTATTTTTACAAAATATTATATTCAATAAAAGGATCAGAAAATAATGCAACAACCATCTTAAAATTGTATTTTTTATTCGTTCCACTGCAGTCAATAATTGAGTTAAGGCTAACTTTCAAAATGATTAATTTTCATGTGCAAATCAAATCGTTTTCACACCTTATACCACGAATTTATCTAAAATACCTAAATACATAGTTTCAATCGTGGTACAATAAAAAGGTAAGGTAGGGCTAACATCTGATTACAATTTTTTTTTAGTTTGTCCGACTTCTGCCAATTTTGCGTATGTATTTATTGTTTTGAAAAATTAAAAAAAAAAATATTTTCACAACCAATTATTGGAAGACACATAAATTGGGGCTCGTGCATTAAAGCTATTAAGCAATATAGCCATGAAATTGAATGATTGAATGGTTAGGATCATATTTTTGAGAGAAAAATCCAGAGATTTCATTCATTCTTCGCGCTTTTTAACTCATTTTAAAAATGAGGAAAAATATAAAAAAAGTGAAAACAATAATTTTGATAATTTTGAATGAGTCTGACAGGAAGCGGGCATAGCCTCAGAGATCTTTTTTGTAGTTTTACGAAGCTGTTCTACCTCCTTATTGTACCATGGTTTCAATAACATCTCATTGTAGAATTTAATAGGTAAATGCTCTGTTCCATAACCTGCAAGAATCATATTCTCACCTTTATTCACCACAAAAGATAAAAATGTATTTTTAAAAATACAGAGATGGATATGCTTATTTGAAATGACTTTACCTTCTCAGATTTTCCTTGTCAAATTAACCGCATGGAAAACAGGTTCTTATCTCTCATTTGTGCATTTCCAATGGATTTGTAAATGCTGTGTTTCAGAACACACACAAGTATTTTGTCGAAGTTGCCACTTGTAGCTGACAACAGTGATGTATTTTCACAGAAATTACAAAAGTGTTATATTTTCACGCCAAAGTCGCGATTTAAGCTCTGATCTGTTTTACCCATGATAAAATGGTGAAGGTAGGCGCACCAACACATTCGCTGTTACAATGAGCTGTAAAATCATTTTTTAATTTCTAAATGTTAAATGAAAAATAATTTTGATTAGTGAAATTTCTGGACTATTTTTGCACATATCCTACATATCTGTTTTTATAAAGTGAAATTTGACAAGGTAAGTTACAGAAAATGCAGAGATGGGAATGCTTATTTGAAATGACTTTACCTTTTTAATTTTGCCACGGGTTTCACCCTAAACTTCAAAATATATATTTTGATGAAACAGAACAATTAACCAATCATATGATTTGTGTTTGATGCATTATGTGGGTGCCTAAAGTGTGATACGTGATATTAATAAATAATAATAAACGCAATGCGCAGCGCGCTCACTCTATTCCGGTATGTATACGATATCAATAAAACAATCATAGAGTGACATAGAGAATGCCGAGAGACTTTATTCTATCATTGCCCTTAGTTCCAACAAATCGGCTATATTCACAGATAAAGGCATGGTAGAATCAAGAAGGTAAATTCATGTAATCATATCTTTACAACTTTTTAAAAGTTATTCGTTTGACAACATCTCAGTGTCAAAATGTTTATTTACTTGTTAACCGTACGCTCCTATGTTCTTTTATGAAGAAGCCAGCCAAAAAGTATTTTATATATTCTCTCCTTCACTTGTGAACACGGTGTTATGCGCTCATAATCGATAAATCTATCGTCGATTTCTTTAAAATTATTTTCCGTCCTTTAGTCAAAATCGACCTAGGCTTCCCTAGTTCTTTTTACAAAAACCTCCTAACGTGTGTCGCTGTTTTGTAGCTTAGATTTGTTGGACTTTTTGCAAAGGCATTACTTCTAAATCATCCGAAATATTCAAACTAAACTACAACTGATTATCTACTTTTGAGGTGGATCAAATGAAGAATATTTGCTTGCTGGTTTAGCAAATTATCAAAAACCTCTTTGTAACACACAACCGAACGTTTGTATGTTATTAATTAAAACACAATTGAAAGCAAGTGTGCCAGTGTGTTCGCGGCAGCTTACTCCTCAAACACAAGAAAGCATTCCTATTCAAAAATCCAATCCTGTTCCACGTTGTCGTCTTTAAAATTAAAATATGGAAGCAATTCGGCTGCACTGTGATATGTGTCAAAAACCTACAAAATAGATTCCAAAATTCGATGGTAAACAAAATCATTGTTGAATAATAAAATTCGACAATATTATCTATCATTCATAGTTTCTTATCAAAGAAGAACAATAAAAGAAAATCAAGAATATTAACAAAAAGGCGAAAACACAAAATCTCAGAGAACCGTATGTAACCGAACTGTCAACAGAGAAAGAGAGCACGCGAGAGCAGAGAACAAACTTGGAGCTGTGTGGGGAAAAAGCAAGCAATCCAAACGCAACAAAACACTGGCATTTGCAATCTCGTTCAGTCAGTCAAGAAACAGTACAACCAAACGGCGGCGGCGGCAGCCATCGAATAACATCAACTCTCAATAAAGCTTGAGCTGCCTCCACTCCAGCTAACTACAGCAAGAGCAACGCTAGGAAGGCTCCAACAGAAAACGAGTAGCATTCCAAACAACCACCAACAAATTGTAAAAAGCGCAGAAATCAAGGAATGAAAAGAGGCCACAGAAGAAAGTTGCTTTAATACATTTATGGAATAATAAAACTAAGAGCCAGTGCTGTGAAAAGTAGTGTGAAATCGCATCAGCTGTTAATCAAAATTCCAAACACCATCTCCCAGTAAATAGCCGATTGATTCCTTGGCCGTCATGAATCCAGATGATTATGAGTCTTTGCCCACGACAAGTGTGGCCATAAATATGACAGCTGGAGCCATTGCCGGTGTGCTGGAGCACATTGTCATGTATCCCATGGACTCAGTGAAGGTAAGTCTCGTTTCGTTTGGCAACAACAACGCCGTACCGTGACTGATAACTGGCACAATTATTTTCTTCGTTTTATTGAACCAAAATGATAGCAATTACCTAACCTAACATTTGGGCAGCTTTTTATAGTGCGTTTAGTGATGTAATTCACCTTTTTTCGTTTTCTGCTATGTACGGTGCTGGTGCTTACGGACAAATGTACGCTCGCTCACTAATTACTCTCCCTTATTTGGCGTTTGTACTCAATCTCTCACTAGCCCCCCAATAACACTGGTCTGGAATGGCAGCGGAGGCGAGAGTTTTGCGCGAATGGTGAATGTGTTCTTCTCGATTTTTGTTTTTATACCCGCGTTCTGATGCTCCCCGCACTGCACACAGCATGTTGGGAATACACCATCACCACCTACAACCACTGCGCGAGTTAATTCTTGTAGTAATCCGAGTATTAAAAAAAAAACACAAGTTTATTCGTTGGTTGCTCAAAAATTACTCTCCTTTATTGAAAACAATAATTAAAATGAAAGTTACGATTATAAACTTATTTAAAGTGAAAATTGCAATAATTGCATTTTGACAATTTATAAAATTATTAGTAATTCTATAGCTGGTGGCCTGTTTACAATTCTTTGAAATTTAAATATATGCTTATTTAACAATTCTTTTATTGAACAATTCTTTATTTTACAGTTCTTTTTCGGTCTGTTGAACTATTTAAAATTCTTACTAATTTTATATGTAGCAATTCATACGGTTATTGACTTATTAGCAATTCTTAATAATTTTTATTATTTATTTGCTTGATTTAACCTTGGTGGCTTTGTAGGTGCTTGTGTTAATGTTGTTGTTGTTGATGTTGTTTCTGTAACTCCTCCCCCCTTAGTATGGAGCGATGGCCAAAAGAATTGATGGTCAGAAGCGACAACAGTATTGGCGGGAAGTTCATTTACCACTAATTTTGTCTTCTGTTTCATTATATAGGTGAAAATTACAATTCCAATTATTAACATTAAAGTTCCATAATTTATGTGTCTGTGAAGTTCTGTATTGTTTGATAACTCTTCGATGGCTAACTTATTTTCTAGATGGTACTCTTTGAGTTTAGGTATATTTAAAGTTTCTATTGTAGACAAAGGTTTTATGTTTATTTCTGTGGGTAGTTTTACAATAAAATCGTCCCAATATATGTTTGGGTTATCTTCGTAGATAATTCCGTTAATAATAACATTACAGTTTTTAAAATTTATTAATAAGTTGCCTTCAATATTATGTTTTTCGGAGTTACATGATGTTTTCATTTCTGTGGTCGGTAAATTTTTTATTAACACAAGTCCTTGTTCAGGTTGTGATATTTCTGTAATTTGGCCTATATTATTGAGATTACAATTAGCTTCTAAATTACTTATGATTTTTCCAAAGCATGAAGAATTTTCCATAGTTTCTTGTAGTGAACTTTCTTTACAATAATATATGTTTTCGATTTTCTTACATAAATTTTCGAAATATTGAATTTTATTATTATTATAAATTGTGTAAGGTTTTATAACTATTTCTTTTGTTTTATTAATTGGTATAGGAATTGTATGGGAAATTGTGTAATTGGTTAATGGGATGTGGGGAATTTGAATGTTAAAAACGATATTGGTATCATTGTAAAATGCCTGTAATTGTAAGAGTTCATATAAATGTTCTGTTGTATCAATTTTAATTGACTGATTCTCTAAATTGTTCCCTATTTCTTCTAACTCTTGCGTATTTAATATCATCTTGGGTATAATTCCGAGGCTAGACAATGTCATCGCTTCAGAAACATCTTTAATATGATTTGTCAGTAAATCAATGTGGAAATTAATCTGATTTAAATACTGCATATCATTTATAAGTCTTGAGTTGGAGTTTATGCTATTTTGAGAATTCTTTATTGACTCTACTATTATATCTTGTTCTTTATTTATGTGGTCTGTGATATTTTCTATTCTTTCAATGATTCTAGTACTAAGTATATTCTGTTTACTAGTTTCAGTTTGTAATTTATTTGTTAGATTAAATATAGCCTGGTTAATACGGAGAGCATCATTATCGTCCATATTACCTGTGATAAATTTAACTGCTGAACCTATACCATTAAATAATCCTCTTTTCCTGCGGTATTTAGGAGTTATTGAATTCAATTTATCCTTAAGGTCTTTAAGTTTAAATTTTGTTACCTTTAAGGAATCTCTGTTGTAATATGTGGGAGTAAATTGTTTGACAGATTCCTCAATTTTCATGACATTATCACTATATGAATCTAATTTTATTATATGTATAAGGTTGATATAGTCAATTATTGTTTTAGCAGTTCCCAGTTTTATTTGTAATAATCCCTGGGTGTCTTTTAAATTGTGTATCTCCAGTGTTTGTGTGTGTATCATGGGTATTAATCTGAAATAAAAGATTATGAAAATTGTTTTTTTCTTATTTTTGATTTGTGAAGTTTCGTGTTTTGTGTAGTAAGTAATGTTGCTTTGTTGTTTTGTTTCACTTTGTGCCTAGAAAATCTCGGTGTTAATTTGTTTCTCCTACATTCCTTCCTGTATATATAGTTATCTACATCATAATTTAGTGGATCTTGTCTGTCTGCATTAAGTTTTTCTATGCGTTTGTCCGTGTCGGTTTCCAATTTTTCCTTAATAGATTCGTAGAGTTGTGTTCGAAATTGATTAATTTTAGAAAGATATTCGTGTTCATTGTTAAATGTAATTTGACGGTTAATTTTATAGGTTCTTCCATAGAAAAGTTCGAAAGGTGTAATTTTAGTAGAAGAATGTATTGCGTTATTATAGGTTATAAGAACTTCTGTTAGGATGTCGTCATGATCCATTTCTAACTTTTTTTCTTTAATTTTCTCGACTATTAATCTGTAAGTTTCAGTTAATGTTGAATGGAGTCTTTCTACGGGGGAATTGCTAGAAGATTGTTGAAAAGATGTAAAGTGTAGGTCAATTTGGTATTGCTGACAAAAGTCTTTAAATATGTTTGATGTGAATTCGGTTCCTTGGTCACAAACTATTTTGTTAGGTATGCCATGCAGGCTAAGAAAATGTTTTAAAGATTTAATAACGCAAAGGCTGTTTCTCGCTGTTAGAGTATATGCTGCGGCGAATTTGGAAAATTTGTCTATAATGGTTAAAATATTTTTGCTGTTAATCGTGTAAATGTCTATATGTATTATATCTAATGGTTTTACAGGTGTGGGAGGTTTTTCAAACTTATTCTTCGGAGGATGTCTATCATATTTTAGTCTTTGGCATGAAGTACAATTATTTATTGTTTGAGCTATCTTTGATTTCATGTATGGAAAGTAATATTCGCGTTTTAGGTGGTCATAGGTTTCTTGTATGCCTCTGTGATTATTGTTTTCGTGATAGTCTTGAATGATTTTATCCTGATTATCGTTTTCTTTTATGTCCTTTACTATTTCAGTACACCTAACTAAACGAAAAATTTTGCTTTGTGCAAAATGTTTGGAATATACATTTTGAATAATGCGAAAAGTTTCATTATCTGTAAAAATTGCCGTGGTTTTATTGGGCGCTAGATGATTTTTAAAAATTTGTGTTATAATTTCCTCTGTATAATTGGGGGATGTAAATGTTTTTCTATATTTGTTTTTAAAAACTACTTCTTGTTTTATGTGAGAATTAGAGTTTCCTGTCTTAAATAATGTTTGTAAATTAAAATCATTTATTGGTTTTTCCGAAATCGGAATACCATCATCGCAGTTTTCCTCTGCAGAGTGAATAGTACTACCAGAAGTGGCTTGATTTGACGTTGTATCAAATGCATTTATGTTTAGATTGACTGATGTGTCAGTCTTTATGCGACTAAGGGCATCGGCGTTTGTGTTTAGTTTGCCTTTTTTGTATATAATTTCATAATCGAATTCTTCTAATTTCAGTCGCCATCTTATTAATTTAGAGTTTGGCTCTTTCAGGCTCATAATCCATGTGAGTGGTTTATGATCTGTTATGATTCTGAACTGGTGACCAAATAGGTATGGTCGAAAATATTTTGTAGCCCAAACTATGGCTAAGAGCTCTTTTTCTATTGTTGAGTAATTGATTTCCGATGTCGTGAGTGTGCGACTTGCGTAACAAATCGGTTTGTCGTTCCCTATAGGTCCTTGCGAAAGAATGGCTCCTAGCGCAAAATTACTTGCGTCTGTCGTAAGATTGAAAGGCTTAGAAAAATCTGGATATTGTAAGATAGGGTCATTTACCAAGAGTTGTTTACAAATTTCAAACGTTTTTTTATAGTTATCGTTGACTATAACAGTTTTATTTTTCTTCAGACAAGCTGTAAATGGCTTTGTTATTTTGGCAAAGTCTTTAATAAATTTACGGTAATAACCTAGTAGACCTAAAAACGATTTTATTTCTTTTTGATTTGTGGGTATAGGAAAGTTTTGGATCGCCTTTATTTTGTCAGGATTTGGTTTTACTCCTTCTGTGGTCACTAAATGGCCCAAAAATGCGCATTCCTTATGTAAGAATTCAGACTTATCTAATTGAATCTTAAGATTAGCTTCTCTAAGGGCTTCAAAAACTTTTCTTAAATTTTCCGAATGTTCTTGGAGTGAGGTTGAATAGACAATGATGTCGTCTAAATAGACAAGACACACTGTTCCTATCAAATCTTTAAGAACGCAATCCATCACCCGTTGAAATGTTGATGGTGCATTTTTTAAGCCGAAGGGCATTCTCACAAATTCGTAGTGCCCATTTTCTACTGTAAATGCTGTCTTGGGAATATCTTTTGGATTCATTTCTATTTGATGGAATCCGCTAGCCAAGTCCAATGTGGTAAAATACATGCACTTGCCAAGTTTGTCCAGTATTTCATTTATGTTTGGTATTGGGTATCTATCTGATATTGTTTTATCGTTTAGTTTCCTGTAATCAATAACTAAACGCCACTTTTTTTTCCCACTAGCATCTGCTTTTTTTGGGACTATCCAAACA